TGAAAATCAACAATGCTGATATGTTTGATGACAAATGCGTCCGAGGTTTGTCAAACGAGCGTGCTCACGTGCCAGTCGCCGCCGTCGCAGTACTATTGTCGGATACAACTATGCATAGCTCATGCTATGGCATTGGTTGAGAGGTGCTATTGAAGCCTTTCAATGAAAATGTTTGAAATGTCTTGAAATTTCTATGAAATGTTTGAGGGTAAGAAAGCAATCAGCGTGAAGAGGAGCTACCTTGATATGCATACATAGATGTATTAGGACTAAAAAAAACTTGGAAATCGACGTCAAACAGCTGCGAAAACCACCTATTGGTTGATGGTTGAAATCTACGAAGCCCACCCCTTGCTTAGAATATTTTACGACTTGTACACATGTTGGCGTATCTGCGAAACTATATGCGCATTTCGCCATTTTTCTTAAATCGTCTAAACTACTTTTTATTAAATCGTAGCTTTTATGTAACAGAAACTTTAAACCCCAAAATAAAGTCACATGCTGTTGTAAATTCCGCACTCGCCGTAAACTTTTTTCAGACCTTTATGAAACAGAGTGACATAGAAAAAGTATGATTCTAACACAATTCGTAAATAATCGGGTGCCGTAAGTTTTATGCAACAGTGCTCAGGTGAGCTTATTTTGCAGCATTATTTTCCGTTGTAGAAAAACGGGCTCTTGAAGATGCATTGCCATTGTAATATTTATTTCTACATTACCTTTAAGTTTGCTGATATCTATAGATTACATCTATTTTGACGTTCCACAATAAAACCGAAATTCAAAGCACTTCAAGGGCGGGCAGCGTGGTGCATGGATGCAGCCTAAGCAAAGCCAAGAGACCTATATCCGCACACTAAACCTGCAACCATGTTTCCTCCATCCGGCTCCTCGTGCCGCTGCCTGGATTATTAGGCGTTGCCTAATATACCAAGAGATGGAAAATACCTTTTTAGCATGAATATCGAATAATATCAATCTTGGTCCGAGGTAGATGCTGGTAATTGATATAGGTACTGTGTGTCCACTTGACCTCACACTTCACCTACCTAACTTACCTACCGTTTCACAACACGCCACGTTCGTTGAGCTTGCCTCTCTTATCCTGCCATCTGCCCCCATGATGCATCTGTATCCCGTGCCTAGTGCTCCGAACCATTGTGAGTTGTGACATCGATGCTTAACCCGCGCCCAGTAGGGCTACCGGCGGACCCTACCACTCGTAGGGGGGGGGGGGGCGTTTCGGCCCCCCCTAAGATCTCGGAAATTTACCGGCCGATTTTCAAAATTCAAACGGTGTTCGATAGCACCACCAGGGAACTACCTTGCGACCGAATTTCATTAACCTAGGTCAAACCGATGACGTCACAGGTCAGGTCAAAGGTCAGATTTTCACCGTTCACAGACATTTCAAGACATGTGTTGTGAAATCGAGTAAATTAAATTCGGTACACTTCTAGAAACCGGCAACTAGGGTGCCGTGCACAACACAATTGGGACCCAACTTGCACGTGCGCACGTGAAGGGTGCCGCTTCAAGATCTCGAAAACGGCCGGGCCGATTACACTCAAATTTGGCACACCACTAAAGACCGGCGAATAGGATGCCGTGCTTGTCAGTTTGTAGCACACCCACTCCGGTCTGCACGTGCAATGCTCGTTCTCTCGTTTGGCGGCGGGCGTTTTTGCTGCGTTCAATGGTGAGTGGGTCACAGAGGTGCTTGCTCAAACAACCTGCGGTCCCGCGATGCGGAGCATACCTATTATCTAGCTGGTTTTAGTACACCAGCCATAGAGAATGCATACTCGTGGACATAACCGAAGGTTTGTTGTCAATAGTTAAAACACTATTCTTTAGAATTGTGTTTTTCTATTGAAAAACAAATCTGAGTTCCCTGACAATTTGGCAAAAGCTGCCTGAGATCAGTACAACTTGATGCTCTTGAAAACGGCTGGTCCAAAAATTCTGATTTTTTCAGGATTTCTAGTGGGCCAGGTGATCTACGTTCTGGTATGGGTCTCCCCTCCGCGGACCATCTGGTGCACGTGCCACGTGACTTTAAAAATTCCCGTGTTAAGCCAATGGGGAAAATGAAAAAATGCGTTCCACGGCAGATTGCTCGAAAACGATCCAAACGACCCCCCATTTTCTTACATGCAGATCAACCACCATTCGGTGCACTACCCATGGGTATGTCGCAAAGTGGCCGGAAAAGTCCAGAACCACGTGCCACGTGCCGTTGAAAATGACCCTGCACACCGGAAATTGGGACTTTTGGTCATTTCGGCGCACCCATGATGCATACTATGGCGTGGGTGACCAAACAATGGGTGTCATCCGGTCGGCAACTGTTTAAGGTGTCGTCCAGTGGGCCAAAGTGGTAGTTTCAAACTTTTGGGATCCACCATTCTGGGGATTCTTTTTGACAATATACTTACGTTTCTTGGCGCAATGTTCATTCCACCCAGCCGGTCGTCAATGCGTACTAGATGACCCAAATGACGATTGACCTGAAGGAAGTTGGGGGCGAGGAACACGCACGTGCCATCCGTTTTTTAATCGGGCGCTTTCATCTAGGAGATTTTTGCAGATACGTCAATGCGTTAGATGACCCAAATGACGATTGACCTGAAGGAAGTTGGGGGCGAGGAACACGCACGTGCCATCCGTTTTTTAATCGGGCGCTTTCATCTAGGAGATTTTTGCAGATATCTTTTTGATTTGTGAAAATGACCAGCCTAGCGGTATGCCAGCCGCTGATAAATTATTATCTTGCTGCGGCCGGGCGCTTATTTGCGGTGTTTGCGTTTGGCGGCTGGCGGGTGACTTTTAGTCGTTTTCGGTTAGCAGTTAGCGTCGGTGCGGTGCGGGCGGTTTTATTTTTTCGGCGTTTCGGCGTTTTTTTCTGTGTGGTTTGCGGCGGTCGGGTGATTTTTTTGCCGTTTTTGCGGCGGGCGGGCGTTTTGTGTTTTTTGCGGTGTTTGTCTTTGGCGCCGGGCGGGCGGGCGGGTGATGCGGGCGGTTTTCTTTTTTTTTGCATCGTTTGCGGTGTTAAATTTGTTTGCGGTTGGCGGCCGCTTTTTCGTTTTTTGCGGTGCTTTTTTTTGGCGGCGGGCGGGCGATTTTCAGGCGTTTTCGGTTGGCGGTTAGCGGGCGTGCGATGCGGGCGGTTTTATTGTTTTGCGGCTTTTTTGCGTTTTTTTTATTTGCGGTTTGCGGCGGGCGTTTGTTTATTTTTTGCGAACTTTGCGTTGGCGTTTCGGGCGTGCGTTTTGCGGTGTTTGCGTTTTGCGGCGGGCGGGCGTTTTTCACAATTCAAAGTTCAAACCTTCGGGCCACAGCGCTCCTCGAAAAGTAAAGCCTCCCATAGCGCTCACTAGGAACTGCCCTACCGGGAAGGCATAAAGTGGCACAGATGAAAGAGACGATCTCTGACAAGGTCCAATCACGCATACCGGGGAGACCACATGATTCACAATCTACAGTATATACAAAGTGCAACATCACTGGACATCTCAACATCATCCGTTGTTTACACTTGACTACATCTGGGTGAGAAGAAGCCACTTCTGATTACCAGCCGGCAATAAATTAAATTAAATCGTGATAAGTGGTCAAGGGAGACAGTGGGAAATTGAGACCGCTTGCTTACCCTCCACGCTGTCCCGGTGCGATAACCACCCAAACACGATTACGGAGCACTGCGACAACGCTCGGCGTGGCTCTATGATATACAGCCGCGCGGGCGCGTGGAAAGCGCCGGCGACCGGGCGTCGCGGAGCTCTCTCGTACCTTCTTATATTGCCGGTCGTTTCTCGTGGCTGTGTCGCCGGCCGCGGACCGAATGCCGCTGTTTTCCGGCTCTGCCGCGGCTCGGCCCGAGAAAACAGCACCGTCCGCTGCCGGCGCTCATAGGGCAGAGCTTTATGTGGCGGAGCGCAGAATGTTTGCGCCGTGAAATTCGGCCCATCGATATCGGCGCGGTTCGGCGGCGGCGTGATCGGGGTCACGGTCTGTGGATAGCTGAGAGTCCGCTGTGAACAAACAACCATCGCTGGTTCCACCGGGGCTCAGCCACACTGGTGTGCGACCGCAAAAAAAAGGTATGCCTCCTAACATTGCTTGGAATCATTGCAATATAAATTTCCCGAGAGTGGCAGAGCTATGTTACGTATGTGGTGGTATAATTTTGAAGTGAGCCTTTTGGTAATTGATGGCGACACAATAATTTTAGAAGCTATGCACCAATTATCTAACTTTGATTAGCCTATGTAATCTGATGATTGTCTGATAATCTAAATTTTAATTTGTCTCGTGTGTCTCTGTTTAAAAAAAAAAAAACGCTCCGGGCAAGTCTCGAATTGAGTCCATACCTGTTGCACTTCTCACGCTTGGATTGCATGAAAAGCAAGTGTAGTTTACACCTAGGACATGGTAGTACGCAGACAGTCACAGTCTCAGTCTCAGTCAGTCACCTCGGCCTCACAGCTGCTGCCTCACTTCTGGTGCACCTCGGCGACATCTGTCTAGCTGTAGTTCGGGACTTCGCCGCCAACGTCTCTCCAGTCGGACTCCGAACGTGATAAGGCCAATTGGAAGCTATGCGGGGGAGTGACATTGATTTGTGGCGAAGAATAGAGAAGTTAAAACGACTGACGAATATCACTGGTGTTCATTTGGATCCGTACATCATTTAAAATCGTAAATGAGAATGCATATATTCGTATAGTGATGTGTTTATTTTTGCCTACAAGGAAAAATTCACAAGACGGCTAAAGGTTACATCAATGATGCGGAACGAAATAGCTCTCTTTTAGGTCTAAATAGTATTTGCACATACTTTGCAGTTTGCACATTGCACTATCGTGGTTATGTTTCAAAAGCACTTGCCTACTATCTGTACGCCTGAAATGCACACTGATGCACTAATGATAATAGCCGGGCGATGCACATGGAAAAGCATGAGCAAATCTAAACGCACACGCTAGTGCTACAACCTACACCAGTGACTGATTATGTACTCCTGCTTCCCGAGTAGTTTCTTCTGCTAGGCTGGTTGAAGTCTCGTCCTTTGGAGTCAGCGCGCTGGACCCTTTGCCGTCCGGCGGTCGCGGAGGGTGTCGGTGGGTCTCCTCGTGTCTCTGAAGATCCGTCTGCAGCGCAAGACATATTCACAGAAAAGATTACGTTCGACGATTGCTTGAAGCACAGATAATTGCACCAGTTTTGGAATTTCGTTGTCTAGAGGGCTGATGGAATGACCGATGACCATTTGTATAGTCGACTACAGAATTATGTTCCACTCCTCAGAAGCTATCTGCAGTTGACCGGAGAACTAAGTTGTGCCGCTTATCACGCAATTGACCCTCGCCGGCACAGGCCATTTTGCGTCCTTCGAGGGCACAAGGGGGGGGTTGGTACGAACCCCCCCCCCCTCGCGTTTGGCCCCTGATCGAGCTAGAGCTTCGCGGAAAAAAAACGAGCGTGTTGCCCGTCACGAGAGGAAGCCGATGATACCCAATTTTAAGGTCCTAGGTCATCGGGTGACCTTCCAGGTCAGGTCAATGACCCGAAAACCGGGAAAATCGGGACCTGTTAGAAAGTCGTAAAGTGTGGCTGCTATGTGGTTTTCCGGGGTGCTGATCACGAATAGCGTGTTAGTTTTGATCAGAGATGATGTCTTTAAGCATTTAGACCAGGTCGGGTCAGGTCAGGTCAGGTCAACCGGTAGGGGTTGTGACGGATATTCGTAATACGTGTCAACCGCCTCTGACAGCTTCGTAACATGTTACGAAGGCACCAAAACTACTTCGTAAATGTTCAAATGGTTGTTAAATTAGAATTCAGCTCCAAAAACTAGTCTACAAACATGTAAGACTCGAAAAAGTGAACCGAGGTCACCCGAGGTCACCAAAGGGCAATGACCTGACCTGACCTTCAGGTGACCTTGACACCCACCCTAATGTATGGGTGCAACATCAAATCACATGTTTGAACGTTTGAAACCACGAAAAGCTTGCAAACGCGCGGCTAATGCGAGCCGACATACGCCGAATCGCGATTCCGGCCAAACAGGGTCTCGGAAAAAAGGTCACAGGTCAAAGGTCATTTGGGTCAGGGTCATGAAATTTTCAGGGTAGGTGTAAAATTGATCAATGCGAGTGTACTGAAAGTTTCGTCGCAATCGGCCGCTTTTTACGCGAGTTATTCGCGAAAAAACCTTAGGGGGGTTGCATCAACCCCCCCTGTGCCGGCGAGGGTTAACCAGCGCCCCACTGGGGTCTGTGTATAACACGCCCTACTGGGGGGGGGGGGGGCTATTCATAGCCCCCCCTCCTGACTCCGAAACTACTGGGCCGATCGTCAAAATTCAAACGGCGTCTGATAGCCCCGGAAAAACTGTCAAGCGAAACCTAATTTCATTGACCTCGAGGTCACCGATGACGTCACAGGTCAGGTCAAAGTAAAAATTATTAGCACTTTGGCTTGTTCACATTTTGGGCTCTGGCCGCCGTCTTACAAGTCAGATCAGGCTCATTTTTGGTTTCCACACTCGTGAACAGATGCTCTAGATACCTTGAGGGTACCAAACTTGTACTTTAATTTTCAGGTCAGGGTCAGGTCATCACAGGTCACGAAAATATTATATCATGCGTCGGTCACGTGACACATGTTTTATGGTCCATTTAGGCCATAGATTTCGAATTTGATGTCGTCTGTGTCATTCAAGGTCATTTTGAGTCGAAATTAGCTTAGGTCAGGTCACTTTCAGGTCAAAAAAGGTCAAATTTTGAAGTTGAAATTTTTCAACAAAAAAGGTGTCTATTGGATGCAGTTTGAGCTCAGGAACACGATGGTGCCATTTATATTGGTGTACGATGCCAAATACGTACTGAAAAATTGATTTGAAAAATTTATAATTGTGAATTTTTTGCAATAATGCGTATAACTTGGCCATTTTTGAAGATATTTAGCTAAAACTTGCTAGAGTTAGTCATAATCATGCGTTCTGTCACATATATTCCGGTTTTTTTTCGAAAAGTCAAAAACCTTTTGAACAAAATATAAAAATATAAATTTTGAATATTATTATATAAAATTTTCGAAATTTTCAAAATTTGGAAATCCGAGATAGCAGTTTGATAGCGCGGTCAATTCTGAGTTCTTTCATGCAAAGAAATTGGATCTAGCTTAAAAACTGAGCTCTAGGGAGCGATTGCCGTGGTTCAATGTTTTGCGTCGAAATCGGACGAACATGACGTCACTCTGACGTCATTTCCGGCCGACCTATGGTAGCTACGAAGTTCAAATTTTGACACAAGGTGTCAAATTGATGCAGCCGAAGGTACTGAAAGTTTGGCGTCGATTCGTCAAGCGGTTTGGAAGTTATTGCAGAAAAACGGGAGGGGGGGCTATAAATAGCCCCCCCCCCCAGTGGGGCGCGGGTTAAGCTTGTCGATTGTGAGCATTGGGACAAAGCTATAATTTGTGAACTCAGCCCGTGTGATGCGGCACAGCCTACCACTCCAGGCAAATAATTGCCTGTGAAAAGTGGAACATCATTCTGTAGTCGACTATACATGCGTGCAGCTAGATGTGGCTTTAGAAGTTGGGCTTTGTTTTGCTGTTCGCGATTGAAGCAGTAGTGCGCTCACCTTTCGCAGGAAGGTACGCCAGCAGTGCGGGCAGGGGACCGGCCTCATCGTGCTGTGTTTCCGAGTGTGCGTGAGCAGGTTAGATGACTGGGAGAACGCTTTCCCGCAGATCTGGCACAGATGGGGCTTCTCACCTACCAGCAGATCACACTGAAATGTGACTGACATTGAGGAAGTACACCTATAACAGCATATAAACCATTGCCGCTGTCAATGGGATATGAAGGGTAAAACGTCCAGATTCCAGAAAGAGTCTCAAGTGAGCACGAGCAATAAACTAGGTTGCAAGCAAAAACACGCAAACGATACAAAGTTGTGCGAAAGTGGCTATACTTTTTGTTGCAGTCATTAGCTGTAGCTTGTAGCGTGCACTGACAGCCCACTGTGCACTAGACAACTGTTTTTAGCGAATCTTTGCCGACTGCCAGCCACCTCATTCTCCCACCAGAGCTGAACCGTCAGATGCCGCGCACGTCTCCATGTTCCCACAGGGACGGCGAGCCGGTACTGCAGAGCCAGCAGCCGCCGCTTTGGCTAACTGGCGCTGACTTTAACACACAAGTATCTCGATTTTTTTGGCATTGCCCTCATTGACAAAATTTGTTTTAATATATTGTAAAATAGCCTATTGTTTTTATCACACTTGTCTTTATACGATGATGGATAAGTTAATCTGCAAAAAAAACAATTTGCCTTGATCCTTCTTCCTGCCGCTCCGCCCTTGGAGCTTCCGGCGCCATTTCGGCAGACAGAGCTGACCGCTGCCCCTAACGTTCACCAGTGTTACCATCTTACTGGTCAAAAACGGCTCCCCCTCCCGTGGGACCCATCTCCACTCTTTGATCGAGCGCCTAATAAAATCCACATCCCTAAAACGGACAGAAACGGACACTTTCTGCCTGAATAACGGTAGCCAGACGACGGGGAAGCACCGGGCAATGCTGATCACGTGTGCCACTCGGTGCCAGCGCCGAAGTTCTGCCCCGACCGCTCAGAGTGACAGACGGCTGGGGCCAAGCTGGGGCGAGGGGCCGCCCGCACCGACTGCCCGGGGGCAGTTCTAAATCGCTCCCCTCTCCGCCTCCGATCGGCCGAGCTGTTAAAAATGCAGCGGCGGAGCTGGCCGCCGGCCTTATGGGGTTCGCTAAATGACGGCACAGACGCCGCTAAACGGTCCGGTCGAGATTCACAGCGTGATTTTCGCCGCCCGGCCGTGCCGATCCTGAACGGACGGCCGAGCGGGGAATAGATCTACTAGAAGGTCGCTGATAAGCGGTTAGAAGCCTCTGACTGGCTGAACGTGAGAAGGTAAGTGGTTAAATCGCAGTGTAACGTGTCTCGTCAACTGCTCAAAGTAGACCTATTTCAAATCACTGGGTATCTAATGCTGCAAATGAAGGGAAACAAATTGGCAATTGAAGCTAACTCCAAAACACTGCGCACAGCACGAACAAGAAAGAGCCATAAAACAGACAACTTTTGTGTTTTGCTATTACAAATGCGATTATATTTACGTAGCATGCATTCCAAACGGCATCTTGTGCAGTTGATTTAACCATTTCATCATAATACGCAGCTATGTAGGCGTTTATAGCATTCTACAAATACTAACGTGGAACACAAACAGCCCGAATCCCCCGATGAGCTGCGGTCTCACCGGTGTGGATGAAGGTGTGCTTCTTCCTGTCGGACTTTTGGTGGAGGCGCTTTCCGCAGAAGTGGCACGGGTAGGGCCGGGTGTCCGAGTGGATGAGCAGGTGGGTGGATAGGGTGGACGCGCGACGGAACTGCTTGCCGCACTCCCCACAGAAGAACGGCCGGTCGGATTCGCTGGAGCACCTAAAAAAAAAAACAACAACAGTGTCACACGTCAGTTCCCGAGGTTGATCGAGTTCAAACACTTTTACAACGACCATGTTTGAACGCAATCAGCATAAGTAAAGTTTTTTATTTGAATCTATACCATATACGATAATGTGTAGAATAGCGCCACTTGGCTAATCATGTAGCTAACAGATAACCAACACTTGTAAGCTTGCATAGCTGAAGATGAAGATTGAGCAATACATTTTTAAAAGATAATTAAAAAGGAACTTCTCTACCTTGAAACAGCCATACGAGCTCACCGTTTCTGCGCTGAGCCGCGATCGTCTACGTCAGTGCTGCTACTTGTTTCAGAGGTTACGGTGTCCTCTGTTTGGCCGAAGGACTCTCCACGTCGCCTTCTTCCATCACCCATTACAGTCCCGTCGTCTCTGCGATGGGACAGCGATCCCATCTCACGCAATCTTTCCCTCCATCCAACCTCTGGGTGTTGGAGGGCCGGACCGGGCACCACCCGCGACCAGTGGAAGTTACAGGAGCCGTTCGAAGGTCTGCTCATCTCCATGGGTCGCAGCGCCAAGAGAGACCTCAGCCAACAGAGTTGTTCCGGTGGCAGTGGCGGCAGCGGCGGAAGCGGAGGTAGCTGTGGAGGTGGCAGCGGCGGCGGCAGGGTCGCCCACAGAGGCACCCTAGGCCTGGGTCGCAGGACCTGACCTCGCCAGGGCTGCGGTCGCTCCGGAGGTCGTTGAGGTGTCTGTTCGTGGCCGGGAACGGTGCTGAAGTCAGCACTCCCGAGCAGGAGTGACCGTGTGGCAGCAGGAGATGTCGACTGTTCTTGACGGGACCAGGGTATTGAGAAGTAGGACGGAGTGTCAGGAAGAGCAGAGGCAAAGGGTGACGTCAGTGATCTTGTGCCATCCCTCGGCTCTGAGAAAGAAGAAGAGCTTATGAATTTAAATATACCAGAACACAGGTTTTGAATAATGCCTACTGAATATGATACTGAATGCATTCGACGTATTAATCTACAGTTTGTTTTGTGCTCAAGAAATATGTAAAACTGGCATATCAGATTCAAATCAAGTACAATCAATATTTTGCTGTGCTATCCAAGGAACATTTTCTTAGAGCGTGCGCCAATGTAGATTAAATTCCTCAGGTCTCAAGTTCAATGCGATTTACGAACAATAATTCAGGCATAGTTGGCTAGCACTGCACTGCAATTGAAAGTTCTTAGCTTTAACAACAACATTCTCTTCAGGAGCCGACCACGCTTAATTTAAGATGAACCAATCAAGGAGCAGCTTACCTTGCAGTTCGGAGGGAGGTAGTACTAGCTGAAAAGCACCACTGAAACGTTTGACGATACTCTGCTCCCACATAAGTGAAGTGATACGCTTTCTGAGCAAATACGGTTTCGAGCACACTCAAATTCTTACGACGTCACTTCTATGCGGTACCATCCCAGTCAAATCATAGAGCAATTAGGTCAATTTGGAACCAAGTGCCGGTACCGCGCCCTGTTCGAACAGCAGCAGCCCGAAGCGAACCACACCTTTGACCGGTACCGAACCTCTGATCAGGTGGTGGACTTCCAGATCTCCCCTCCCGCTTTTCTCCCCCATCTCCCCCGCCCTCTGAGACGCCGACAGTCTCCACGCCGGCGATACCAACTCAGCTTGAGAGTGACGGACCTACAATATGGGTTTGTGTGATTTACTGGGTAGACGTGTTTTGCCATGCCCGATAACATTCAATGTCCAACGCTCGCTGTTAATTTGTCTTATGATTATGTCTCATAAGAGCGCGCCAACTAGAGAACGAGTCAAGACGGCCCCGGATTGGCTACATCGATGTCGATGCGTCCGCGCGGACGACTGGCTGGCCCCGCCCACTCTGACTCGCCGAGCTAACGGAGGCTGAGGTAACCGAATGTGAGTCTATGCTGTAGGCAGAAAGAACATCCACAAACGAAGCAGTTATCAACAAGAGGAAAACCTTTCACCGATTTCCGAGGTAATGGCAAGCATTAAAATATTCAGTTGCTTAGTTCCCGAGAAGGAAGAGCGATGGGATGTGGCATCTCTTTCCTCGCAATACTGGCCACCAGCACTTCTGTTGTCGTTTTATCATAAATGACATGCATTATCCGCAGACAACACAGGGCCATACACTTACTTAACAACATGAAAATTCAAATCGACGTGCAAAGCCTGCTGGCATTAGGACAATCGTGGACATCGAGCGGCTGGCCTCCATGGTGTTGTAGTCCCAACTGACGAGACCCTGATTTTAGAAGTCTCGGCTATTGAGTCTCTGATCGTGTGTGCAAACTGTGGAGTGAGACCTGACTGTGGGTTACCCGGTCAATGCATCTTGAGTCACCCATCCAAACGCTTGTTTCCGCCACACAACCCACCGCCACCCCTTCCCCTCACCGTTAAATGCATCGGCGCCACTTTGAACTCGGCGCTAATCGGTCGTCAAACAGGTCAACAATAGGTTCCCGCTGGTTACTCACGTCCGGTGAATATATTGTGTCGAGGGCTTATTTCCTGCATAATGAACAGACCCTTTCCTCCAACCGTTCAATATAGCGGTGCAACAGAAATGTGACATCTTTTGACTGTTGATAAACAATAATTGCATCAGAGATAATTGTAAAGGCTAACTCGACACTGAGCCACTTTTGTTATTACAAAGATAATGTAAAGCAGATTTTTTCTCACAACACATCATAACATCATAATAACATCATAATAACATAACATCACATCATAACACATCATAACCCACTGTTGTGATGCGGGCCCGTCCACGTGTTCGTCCTGGTCCGGTCGCGGTCACCGGCCGGTCGGCCGCCGCCGCCGCGCGCCCCGGGTCAGGCCGCGGGCGGTCGGCAGCGATAGTTGATGTCGGGTGTTTTCGCCTGTTCCGCCGGCCAGTCGGTTCTGGGCGGCGGAACTGGGTGTATCTCGTGAATTGGTCAAGTCTGTGATTTACAATATAGTCAGTCAAGAGAGCTGGAGTGTCACGACGGAGGACGGCGGAGCAACGAGAGTTGAGGATACAACACCCACAGTCAGTCAACGAATTGTAGCTTGATGTGCATGGCGAGTGACGAAACAAATAATTTCTTACGGGTTTTACAACAAACAAATAGATATATAAATGCATGTATTATCAAGCATATATAATGTATATGTATCAATGCGTTTATATGTATTGTCAAGCATAAATAAGCGGTATTGGTGGTAGCCAGTAGCATAGCTGGTGAAAAGCGTGGCTACAGCGAATCTTGCACGGTACGGTATCAAGCATTGCATATATGATGACAATTGACAAGCTCGTGAATACCTAGCTGGTGATGTCGCCGATTTCTGATCACGTAGCAGGCCCGGTCCATTGTCCAGCTCATTAGTCATATCGATGGGCCGTGCAGGAGGCGGATTAGACTCGCCGTGGTGACGTCACTGTCCTATCGTTACCAGTGACGTCACACGGCGGATTAGCCGACCGGGACGGCTCACGGCTGGCCTTCTGCCGACTGTCACACGTCTTCTGCGGGCTGCCGGCCAGAGAGGACCTAGGGCGTGCATGCATGCACGTTGCATACATATTAGTGATGTCAACTACGGAAAATCGGAATACCGATACCAAACCAAATACCAACCAAAACCACGGGAAAATACCGAAACCAAACCAACTTGGGAAAATGAGGGAAATACCAACTTTTTACCGATTTCTTAGCCTCGTATACATTAGTGAGGGTTTATGATACCAACAAAATACCAAACACATTACGATTGAAATACCAAATACCAAGTTGGTATCGGTTTGGTATCGGTATACCAAAAAGTTGGTATCCGATTGACATCTCTAATACATATGCATACCGCATAGGTTAAGTGTATTCATGCCAGCTGACCAATACGGTACAAATTATGCCAGTGTACTGCATGAGGGTCTAGAGTGGTCATGTGCATGTAAACATTAATTCAGCCGCCGGCGATGGATCAAAACAGTGTTATCGTGGCCTTATGCTCAGGGGACAGTCAGTAGCTCGAGAATCCCTCTGTGTAACATTAGACGACAGAAATAAGAAAAAGTGTCAAGAAGTAGGTACTCATTGATAACATGATATACCTACAATACACAATATCAACACATTTACCTTCGGTTGCGTCTTTACGGATGATTGTGATTCATCTATTGATTTTTCGAACTTCATATAGCACATCAATTCGTAGTGAATTAGCAAATGCAGTATTGTCCATCATACAGCTGAACACAAATTCGGACTACGAGTCACACAAAAAAAAAATATGAGAAAGGTTTCAGAAGCTTTGCGGGACAAGAGAGTCTCTGGCAGGCTGTTAAGCTCGTGGAGCCTTCAAGCGGCTGAGGCGCTGGACATTTCTCGATGCAAATTGAGCACCGTGCGGCCGGTTTTATGATTCGCTCTCTGGGTACACATACGGTGACCGTGACTCCAACAGAACACACAGAGAGAGGTCCCTCGCTGCCTTGGCCGCCGCCGGCACAGTGCACCGCGGCACAACTGGTTCCCACCGGAGGCAGCGCGGTGACGCGGTGCACTGCGCTGGCGCTCACTTTAGAAACCGAGAGTGGGTGAGTTGGGCGCTGGGGGGCGAGCTGCGGCGCGAGAGTTACGGTCGTCGCGTCGGTGACGACGGAACGGTGTCGGAGAGTGTCCAGCGGAGGTCCTCCGGGGTGGGTGTCCTCGCGGAGTGCTCGGAACTCGCCAGCTCGTGGGACTCCGAGGAGTGTCCTCGGAGAGACACGGCGCCAAGGAGCTGCAGAGGACCGGCTCAGGCCGGGATATGGCCAGGTCAGGTGATGGATCGACACGAGGGCATGAGACTCGGTTCAACATTGGTTACAGCTCATTTTCGGTAATGATTGGTTCTTTGGGTATTTTTAGCATATAGGTGGCTTTACAGCGTAAGCAACTGAATAATGCTATTATAAACGAATGTAAGAAACTTATTAGTATGCACGATTATTGTAGTTGAGTGAGTTGTTGTCTTAGTAGTTAGAGTCATCCGTATTTCCGGCCCTGTATGCAACGGCTTAAGGTTTATAAAAAAAGCGAAATGTAACGCTTATTGCTCTAACTGAGCAATGTAATCATTTTGTTCCGCGGCTGGGCGTTATTTGTTGTCTAAAATTTCAGTAAAATGTGTTATGTTATTTTGAACACCTGCTAAGCTTATTACATTCCAACTCCACAATATAATCCGAGAAAACGTTAGCACAATTCATTCAACCATAGCTAACGGAGATATGAGCTAGCCACCATCATTCACGGCATAATTGGGCTGCGAAATCTGGCAGATTCTTGAAGGAAAAAATAAATAAGCGATGTCACTCAGTTCTCATTATTCCCGTATTGATGGTTTTCAACCTCGCAATGTTCCGTTAGGCTAGACTTTTATAAGTCATCTTTGGTAATGACTTCGTAAAGACGTGAAGAAGGATAAAATGGTGTGTGATATAAACAGCAACAGCGTCCATTGGCATGTGTCATCTTAATCGTACCAAATGTTTACACATATCGACGCGTCTTTTAAACCCTTCATCTCTTCTCTCATAAATTTCCGGGAAGCACGAAAGATCCTTTAAAAAGTATCCAAGCTCTGAGCCTGATCAAATCTGTGTGTGTTCGTAGGCTTGTTTTGGCATTGCTTGATCTGCAAAACAAACAAACTCGAGAAAATTGTGTTAGAAGCTTTTCGGTAGAATAAAAATACCTTTAATCGAAGCTTCTAAAGCCTTCTATCCAGCTTGTCGAAATTCACGAGAGCACACATGGGGGATTTGAAACAGGCATCGATAGGTACCAGCATTGTGAATTTCAGTGGCGCCTTCTCTATATTTCGCCTCTACTCCGTAGTCCGACGCGTTAAACAACATTTCGTTAAATATTCGTACTGGTCTTCAGTGCGTTCCACAATATACGGAAGGAAGTATATGCCACATCGTATGATTTCGCCATTTCAAGTGATTTGTGGTATCATATAGAAATAGCACATCTACCAACCTAGCGACTTTCTACTGGAATCGCCGCTGGTACTTCAGTGGCTAGCATGACTGCTCGTGTGTTATCGCACAATGCTGTTAAAAAAAAAAACTAGGCGTAAGTCTGAATTTGCAGCTAAGTTTCAATGCTTAGAGACGTTACTTAACCCTCGCATGTGTAGGGGGGGGGTCGGATGGACCCCCCCCCAATGGTTTTTCGCGAATAACTCGCGTAAAAAGCGGCCGATCGCAACGAAACTTTCAGTACCCTCGCATTGATCAATTTGACACCTACCCTGAAAATTTGATGACCCTGACCCAAATGACCTTTGACCTGTGACCTCTTTTCCGAGACCATGTTTGGCCGGAATCGCGATTTCGCGTATGTCGGCTCGCACTAGCCGCGTGTTTGCAAGCTTTTCGTGGTTTCAAACGTTCAAACATGTGATTTGATGTTACTCCCGTGTGTGTCAAGGTCACCTGAAGGTCAGGTCAGGTCATTGACCTTTGGTGACCTCGGGTGACCTCGGGTCACTTTTTCGAGTTTTACATGTTTCTAGGCTAGTTTTTGGAGCTGAATTCGAATTTAGCAACCATTTGAACATTTACGAAGTAGTTTTGGTGACTTCGTAACATGTTACGAAGCTGTTAGAGGCGGTTGACACGTACTACGAATACCCGTCACGACGCCTACTGGTTGACCTGACCTGACCTGACCCGACCTGGTCTAAATGCTTCAAGACATCATCTGTGATCAAAACTAACACGATATTCGTGATCAGCACCCCGAAAAACCCCTTAGCAGCCACACTTTACGACTTTCTAACAGGTCCCGATTTTCCCGACTTTGGGTCATTGACCTGACCTGGAAGGTCAACCAATGACCTAGGACCTTAAAATTGGGTATCATCGGCTTCCTCTCGTCACGGGCAACACGCTCGTTTTTTCCGCGAAGCTCTAGCTCGATCAGGGGCCAAACGGCAAGGGGGGGGGTCCAACCGACCCCCCCCCCTACACATTAGAAGCTGGCAAACGCCGCACACATGCGAGGGTTAAAGCTCAGGGTCAGATAAAAACAGCCTTCTAAAACATCAAAAGTGAATCGACAGCTATAGTTTAGACGCTCTTTAGGTCTTGCTTCCTCAAACAGACTAATGAAATGTGGTATGACAGTTTGACGTTTGTGAAAAGCGATAATGTGAACACATATATATTGCACAAACCGGTTTCGATATCACTTCATCAGTGTGCAAATATATAAATAAAACACACAAAATACAAAACGGAGACGAAATAGGTACAGCACGTACAGCAGAGCAAATTAATTAACAGAAACAGCTTTCATCCATGGTTTTCTGCAGCCAGCAAGTGCTAAGCCATCTGTCCGTTGATAATGTCATGAAATACATATTTACGAGTATGTCGGCATCTTGGCGGCTTACGAACCAATACTATGGCCGTAAGCTTCATCCTTTTTATATGCCATAGAACAACATAAACCGAGAGCTAGAATAAGGGTCTATGGGAAATGGCAACAGCAAAAAATAATTACGTAAAAGTATGACATTCTATCAGTTATATACCGCGTCACAGCCTACCCTTCACTAATCCCAGATGGTGATCCGCCGCATTTAGCGGAACTGATGTTAAAAAGCCATTAAATGTTGTTCTATACCCGCAGCTCAACTTCGACCAAAGCTTTATGCATTAAAAGTCACAAGAAAAAGAAGCGTCCATTCGGCGGGGGTCTGCGGCTAATTTCTCCGGCTAAAATGAAGGTTCTCGTTGTTGCTCGACCCTGAGTGGAGCCGGTCGCCATGCACGTGCGACAGCACCCGCAGACCAGAGCTGATTTATATCCTCACTAACGGGGATTATCCACACAGGCCACGGAGCTGCCACGCAGATGTGTTGAACAGACTTCTTAGTCACCACGCTGCTTGGCTTGACCATTAATTCAGAGAAAATAGCAGCAGGCCTTATCCGTTTTTGGTCAGTAACGCACTGAAATTATCGTGCTCTTTGCGTCTCAACATCAAGATGTTAAACGCCCCTAAAAGCACGCCTTACAGAGCGACGTCGATAACTCATATATGAAATGGCGACCAGAGTTAAATCAAACGCAGCCTTTACAGCCTGCAGCCGTAGAATCTCTCTATCGTGCTGTTTTTCTCCGTGTTATTCATTGTGGTATTCAGAGGAACTTGTCATCCAGAGCCCTTCTACAGAGTTCCCGGATGGGATTATTGTGCTAAATTATATGAGCTTTGAATATTCACCCAGAAGATATGATGGATCGTTTGAAAACGATTGTCACGGAATGACTAGCATCGCCACAACCTCGCTACGCGTGCAAACCATCTGTTCTCGACATTGCTAGGCGCACTTACGTATGCACCTCATGTATAAAGGGAGCGCGTACCTACTTGGTCGCTTATGTGGCATGACTGACGCCCATATAAGCCATCGGCAGTGTGTCTGACTCTGCCACGACTGTTCACAAAATGTTGTCTTTATCACAACACATTTGAGTCAGTTGCATTTCATCTCACACTTTTTATGATAATTATTCTTGCATAGCACATGAAGAATGAATACATCGATTAAATACACACCTTACATTTATGAATTAGCAGTGTAACTATGCGTACCTTTATTCTCCCATTGAACAGAAGCGCTTGGATAATACTGTCACCTTCCTTTGTCAGTTGTCAGTTGTCACCATGATTCCGATATCACGCGGTAGCTCTGAGCAGCCTGGGACGCCGTTACACCAGGCTTTCACACATCAATAACAGTCGAGACAGGGTCAGACACACTGCCGATGGCTTATATGGGCGTCAGCTGACTGCATGTCCCGGCGGGAGCCCGATTACCGGCGTCACGAGCGACCCTCTCCGGCCGAGCGGGGGGGGGGGGGCAGGGGAGGAGGACAGGCGCGGATACAAGGGGGGGGCCATGGGGGCCATGGCCCCCCCCTTGGCCGATTTTTTTTCAAAAATAAAATAAAAAGTTAAAAAGTTAAAAAGCTGAAAAGGGGGCCTCCTGAAAATAAAGTGGCCGAAATCCGATGAGTTTTTTTTTAACCTACCCACTTAGTTATTTCTTAGAAGACTAGCTGAGAAGACTTCTTTGTTAGAAGATTGGTAAGGCTTTCATAACTTGGAGGTCTCTTATACTCACAGAGATGACCACTTTTACAGGGCCTCCTAACCTGCACAGAGGGCCTCCAAGCCTGCACAGATGTTGAGATGTTGCCTGAACAGCTAGATAAGCTCAATAGACGCAGTTTTTTTTTGGGGGGGGCCCAACAAGTGGGAAGATGGGGCCTCCAACAGGTGGGATTATGGGGGGGGCCTCCTGGTTTCTAATGGCCCCTCCCTTGGAGATTTTCTGGATCCGCCCCTGGAGGAGGAAGATCCGAGGTCGAGGTCACTTCTCCCGAGCCGACCGCCAGGGACGTAACCGATTGCACGGAAGATTGGAGCGGCCAGAGATGGCTGTTTTACATCGGGCCGGCGTCTCAGGGAGCTATTAGCACTGGCTGATTGGTGCACGGATCGTTAGTTAGTGCATCGTGCACGGCGAATCACGCTAAATGGACAGGTGCAGACAGCTAGCCGGAGAGTGTGGAGGAAGGAAATACGATTAGTGGTTGATTAGCTACACTCTACAGACGTGACTTTGCATAGAACTGTCAGTATAGGAGTTTGCGTAATGACCAAGATACTCTGAGCTGATAATGGAGCTTGGCATACCTATCCGTATGGTTGAGCGCCAAAACGTGACTAACGGAGAATTTTGTCTTCTCGTAATTCGGCTGTACACAAAGACCTGTTTTAGCCTCGAGTGCCTACGGTTGACAAAACTAAGCTTGCTCGTCTTTAATGAAAACACACATACAGCTATTTCCTTGATAATACCACTCCTTAGCTCAGATGCATCACTCTATGCAGAAGTCACCCAATACAAGGTCAGCAAGCATACTTCGGGAGTGACACATGTAAATCGGGGACATGTCCAGTCCCAGGTGGTGGCATTTCCCGTCAGTTTTCCGCGGTGGACTGTCTCTGTGCCGATATGAGGACGAGCTGTCGCGGTGGAATTTCGCGGAAGGTGCTCCGGTCACTTCCGGACTCACCCTGATGATTCCAACGATCTGCTGCCGATTTTCTGCCGATGGATCATCCTTACCTCGGGAATAGATTCGTCAGCGCCACTCCCTAACCGGTTTACAGTTATTGATCTGCGGAAAATACTACCTGAGTAAGTCCGCTGATATATTCACTATACTGCGATACTGTGATGTTGGAACGCTCTTGATGGTTACATCCGGGACCGATAGGTTGTACTCGATAGTTGCACATAGGCAGATCCTGGAATACATCATACGGTATTCCCTAAACGTTTGAGATAATTATCTATGTTTCAGGATATTTAAAGAAAAATCATCTTACTCATATTATTGGTGATTTTGCGTGACTCATCGTTACCTATAGAAGCTTTGCTATTCGTCTGATGATAAATCACTTAATCACTCATTGGCAATTCCCACCAAAGATAGGCGGCGGAACGGGGAAGGCACCGGGGCACCGTGCTCCCCTTTGATTTTGGCATTTTAACATTAGCCCTATGGGCGTTGCATGGAAAGAATGGGACCAAATGTCGGCAGTGTCCCCCCCCCCACCCCCGCCTTAATTGAAGGTGTTCCGCCGCTACTGCCAACAAACAAAGCAATTTCAGTAATCAAATCCGAATTTTCACTGCAGCACAAATCGGTTATGTTGTGTTCCAATATCTACACTTTTGTTTATCTTTGACATGTGACAGTTGATAGCATGATCATAAGCAGCGACAGGCTGATTGGAGACTGCATGACCGCTGAACCAAGCGGAGATTCCGGAGAATCAGGGGCCTCATTCGATTCGTTCCACATTTGATATTCGCTAAGCTAACTATTTTTTCGTGATTTATTTTTGTACGTGTGACAATGAGCGAAATTTCAGTTCACTCTTCAACACCTTCGAGCCTACCTAATTTTCAAACGTTTTCCATAATAATTTCAGTAGGCAGCAACACGGAAGGCTGCATAAGCAATGCAAGGCCAATTAGAAAGATTGCCTACATCCTTCTAAGGAAGGAAGTTCACTCCTGTTTTGACCGAGTGTGACCTTTACTCACCCTGTATTGTTTCCGTCGCTGGTGCAGACTCTAAACATTATTGTTCAGTTGTCTGAGTTGTCGTCGAATCTATGTTCAATTCCTTTTCTGCTGATGATCATCGCATACCAGGCCAGGCACTGTACTCTTTCGTCGTAAGCCAGGTGTCTTCACTAATTAACCTGCCCTGTTCTGTGTTCGCTCCCAGGGCGCGATGTGTGCTCCTGGGGGTGCTCCTGTGTGCTACCCTACACCAGTCGACCGCCCGACAGATGGACAAATGCCAGCTGGCCAGGGAGCTGATGCGACACGGAATGCCCGAGCATGAGCTGGCCGACTGTGAGTATAGAGTACCTACAAATGTTTTAATGCATTGTGCTAGAGGATGAAGACTTATGTGCCAGTGGTTTGTAATAACTATGGGGCGATAAGTATACGGCCTTGACTGTAGAACTTATACGCAAGGCACAAACATAACACAAGGAAGTAATCTACCGACTGCATGCACGCTTTATGCTAACTTACGTGCCCCAGCCTCATAGTTGCACTAATAACTCACCTCACTGACCAAAAGCGGTAACCGCCGGATCGATTGACCCCGTGTGACCCTTTGGCAGCTGGTCATTGTTGGTTTGAAGTGATAATCCCCCTTTTAATGCGTGCTGACGCTCGTCTGACAGTAAGCTGCGGAATAATAAATTGGCGGTGGGCTTGCTACCGTACAGACAGTTAAAACGTTTCCGAGCACGTTTATCAAAGTTGTCAGATATCGTGCGCAGCTGTCTAACAAAATCAGCATCGGTCTCTTCCTGAAACACTTGTTTATAGCGAGCCTGTAGCTTACTGTCTGTGCTCGTGAGTCCTACACCGACAAACGATTGTCAGCTGGAAACTGGGCTGCCACCCCCTCCCCCCCCCCTTTCCCCCGAGAAGGCTGTGAAGCTGTGACAGCTGATGGGTGACTTAGCCCTTCCTACAGAATTGTGTGAGGTGACCAGTCTGGCCCTTTCCCTTCTGGCAGGGCGGTTTCCTGACTGATGTGTCCTCTGTACCTGACGGCTGACCTCCTCCCCCTCCCCCAGGGCTGTGTCTGGCCGACCACGAGTCACGGTACGACACCGGCGCCGTGGGCCGGCTGAACGGGGACCGGACCGTGGACCACGGCCTGTTCCAGATCTCCGACCTGTACTGGTGCGACTGGAGCCGCGAGGAACCGCAGAGGAGCTACCGCAACCTCTGCCGCGCCAGCTGCGACGGTGCGTTAGCAGACGGGCCGCGAGTCAGGCGGGTTACACACAGGCAAAGCGTGCAGTTTATAAAAGTTTATTATTTGCTTAGATATAGCATTTGGCATCACCGTTGTCATTACTTACTTCAGTTGTGGCACTTCGTAGGCTATTATTTCACCAATATTTGACAGGGTTGGCATGGCATAGCAGTGGGATGCATACTGAAACAGCGTCGTTTTCCGCGCAGATTTTCGTGACGACGACATCACCAATGACCTGGCGTGCGTGCGTCAGATTTTCGACGAGCACAAACGGCTGCAGGGCAACGGGTTCATGGCCTGGTGAGTGATGATGTCAGCTACGGTCTACGACATTTCGGCATTGCTACGCCAGCATTGCTACGCAATTGGAGAATGAAAGTTTCACTCCCCGTTAATTGGAGAATTAAGTATTTGTTTCAAAGGATTTAGAGTCATATGCTTGTTAGCGAGAAAATGTCTCACCAACCTATGGCGGCATAGTTATATGGCCAACACATAAGCATTCTTTTTACAGAAGCAATGAATTACGGTCAAAGTGTCTATTCAAGGTCAGCTCGCTCGGAGCTATATTTATTCATTTCACTATTAGTATGAAATCTTTTTCTCTGGATGTCATGCTTCAGTTCAAACTGTTTCTTGTTCCAGGGTGGCATGGAGGAACTTCTGCGACGGCGCCTCTATGGCGGAATACAGCACCTCTGAGTGCGACCTGCACGGCGCTCCGGCTCCCGCCCGCCGGCCAGCCCCGGTCCTGGTGCCAGCCCCGGACCCGCCCACCTCCCTGCTGCCGCCGGATATGACCAACAGTCACACGTATGGACAGCCCTCGTCGAACGCTCTGCGGCGCACCTCCCAGCACAACAAGTCCCGTCTGAAGCCGTACCGTCGCGGCCGCACCGGCTGGAAGGCGCCCAGCGGCCGTCGTCGGAACCAGCCGGTCACCTGGAGTCCGAGGGTGCTGAAATTGATCAGCACCACACCGGCACCGCCCCGCGGTCCGGCTGGCAGCCGTCCGTGGAGGCCCTCCAGCCCAGGAAGCTCGTTTACCAGCTCGTCTAGCTTTTCCAGCTCGCCAGGCTCGTCTAGTTTTTATAGCTCGTCTAGCTTTTCCAGCTCTCCCGCCTCGTCTAGTTTTTATAGCTCTTCTGGCTCGTCGAGCAGCTTCAGTTCATCAAGTGGCAGTCAATTTGGAGAGAACATTTTCCTGTCAGGTCAACCAGGTTTCCGGCAAACACCGCGACCATTTGTAGCGTCTAATGACCAGGGTACACCCGCCAACTTCTTGCCACCTGTAACTAGTGCCGGTGTCGGTCAGGGACCCAGTCCTTATCCCAATAACGTATTCCTTGCCAATACTAGAACCTCTCAATCGAATGCATTCCCGTCCAACCCAAGCCCACCTGTCAATCACCCATTTAAGGATAATGTGTTTTTAGGGGGCAACGCTTTCCAGCAAAATGCCGCATCAGATCAGGGGCCAGCTCATCCTTACCCTAACAATATTTTCCTCGGTGGCTCTTTCAACAGAGCCACTACAGCGTCTCCGCCTCGGCCGTTCGGGGGCAGTGCCTTCCACCAGGAAAGTGGCGGGAGCTCACAAACACATCATCAGACACGACCTGTCAGCCCGGGACCCGCCTTCACACGACCGGCGGCCGCTCAGAACGGGTTCGGTTCACCAAACAGGCAGTACCCGGAGCCGGCCTCAGCTGCCGGTCGTCCAGAGCAGCCGGAGTTCACAGTCACACAACGACCGACGGCATCAGCAAAACCCACGACGGAAACTTCACTTCCAGCAACGACTGCTGCTACAACTAACAGAAGACCCACAACCCCGCGAAACTTTAGGATGAGGCCGTCAGATGTCGCTGAAACCACAACAGGACAAAGACAAGGTCAGGAGATACCATCGAAGGCAGTTTCGAGCAGCATCACTACCACACGGAGGCCTGAGCGGTTTCGGCCAACAACGCGAAAGCCACAAAGGTTCACGGAAGCCACGACACGGAGATATTCTACAACTACTCCCCGTTCTTCATTTGACAGATTTACCACGACGAGACGCCCTAGAACAACACGTCGTCCATTAATAGGAAGTAATACACCGACCACCGTAGGAAGACGCGAAGACAGAACACAACGCCCTCCCACTAGAGGACGTCCCCCATCAACTCGACCTTCCAAACCGACCGAAGGAAGGCGTGAAGACACAACACAACGCCCTCCCACAAAACGGCGACCCCCATCAACTCGACCGTCCACACCGACCGAAGGAAGACGCGAAGACAGAACACCACGCCCTCCCACTAGACGACGTCCTCCATCAACTCAACGTCCCACGGGATTCCGTCCGACCACAACACGCCGTCCAATCGCTGCGCGGCGCCCCTCTCCCTCATCTGAAACAACTGAAGGGATCGAAGGCCAGCTCTTGACGACCACACGAAGGCCGCGAACTCGTCGTCCCAGACCACGCCGCCCGGGACAGCGGCGACGACCGCCCACCACGGAGCGCCCCGCACGGCGTGGACCTGCAGCATCTCGTCCAGCGGTTACAACCACTGAGCGTTCACCCTCGGCAGCTTCCACGTCGTCCTTCTGGGAGAGATATTACGCGCAGAAATCACCCAGCACTACTGTTAGTCCAAACAGCAACGAAAAAGCCACTACAGCCAAGTCACTAGTTGAAGAGCCAAATCCGTCTTCGAAGCTAAGAATTTCCAGTACAACACCGAGGCCAACGACAAGACGGCCTACAAGAAAGAGACTGCCTACTTTCAGACCATTCAACAACCAAAGACTTACTGTTACTGAAAGTCCGGAAACGGAGCGAAGTGACGAAAAAGAAGAAGACAAGTCCACTTCACGGACAAACCAGAGTAGGTACGCATTTACTCCACTACCGAAGCCGAAGACGGGAGGTCCCTTCGGCACCTGGGCGTCACATGGTCCGGGCGGACGGTCGTGGGGCTTCTCTTTCAAGGGATAGTGTTGTTATCGGAGAACATCATTCCTGCGGTGCTGGTTAGTCCAGTGAACAAACGCAGTTTCGTCCAGCGTCTTACAAACATGTTGGTTTGCCTGGAACGCGTCAGAAAGCAGAGTTACCTAGATATAATTGCTCGTTTTGAATGTTCAATCATCAATCATACTGAAGTCGTGTTCTTGGAACAGCTTGATTTTCATGGTGCGTCCGGGGAGTTCAGACATTTTCAGGTTTACATTTTAGTTTTGGTGAAACTACAGCAACGATCCTTATACCTTGCATTTAATTACGTGCCCGATCAAATTTGAATCCCTGAGAATTACGCCTTTTTGTGCCTAGACCTTGATCTTTTGATAGGTACTCGTATTAATTTACATATACATACATAATAGGTACACATTTCGATATTTCATTGTCCATTCGTGTTTTATCAAAAGGGCATTTTGCATGTGTGCATCGGGTTTCATTAATATCACAAAAAGAAATATTTTGGCAGTTGCTATTCAATTTCCAACAGAATTTAGCTCTATACCGGGTAAAACTCCGAATTAGATATAACTATTTTGGAGTGAAAGATGAGAAGCAGACAGGTGCTCTCCAGCTCAACATGATCTGAGTCGTCAACGGATGGTTTGTTGTAAACGTACGAAATGCAATACATATAATGTACAATGTACATAGTACACCTTTGTGTTTGAGTGCGTGGAGCTGGTGACTGAAAGTGGCAGGTCAAATATATCAACCGGTGTATGTCAAAACCTTATAGTTGATGTGTCGGCTTTACGTATCTATGCAAGTCTACAAAAGTGGTATTTTTTGTGAACCGCCTTTTTATCATTCAAACAGTGAAGCAGTCTGTGAAAGCATTTAGGACATTACAGTTTTGCTCATGATTATAGTGAGTTATTTGCATCTTATTTGCATCATCATACACAGCTGCTGGTCATACAGCGTGAAGCCCATACGAATAGGCATGTACCTGAATAGTTAGTGAAAAGTGTTAGTCGTGAGTAGTTAATCATAGTTGATATGCTTATATAATACGACTTATCTAACCTGAGAAGATGCCAAGTATAGGTAAAATGGCCATTAGGTACAACATTAGTAAATACGTTGAAGACTTATGGAAAGAGCTTGCAGAAAAGTGGACACGAAGACCTGCTTACTTCCCTAGCATTCAGAAGCTTCATCAAGGTTTGACTCAATAACATCGTAACTGAGACTTCCGCCTCCCGGTAACAAATGGTCATTTTGTGGATTAACCCGCGCCGTGCTGGTGGCCTGAACTTTCCGCCGGAGTGGCGGAGTGAAGGTGTTACTTTGAGCACTTCCTGTAGGAGACACAAGTGGCAAGCGGTGATCGCGATGATGTCATCATAAATGATAAACCCTCTTGAAAATGCATTGTGTGATTTGATAACGTGAGATGAAAATATATCTTTCTGGTGCCTACCTACTTTATTCCATTCATTAATGAACACCCGGTAGAATAGTTTAACTGTTAATTGCTGTTGTCAACATGCCATTAACCCGCGCCGTGCTGGGGGGGGGGCGTTTTTACGCCCCCCCTCAGGTTTTTCGCGAATATCTCAAAAACGGCGGCGCGCAGCGCCGCCGTTTTTGGTACACGTGTTCCTACATCATTTCCGCACATGTTGTGAAAATTTCAGACCTAGGCCGTTCAAGGTCAGGTCACCAGGTCACGTCAAGTGACCTTACCTCAGAAAAAGTTCAAAGGCTCGCTATAGCTACACCGACTGAACGATCACTTTGAAACTTTCAGCGATTGATATGAGTAACAGTATGTATAAAATGTATATCTCGGATTTTTGATATCTGTGACCTAAGGTCAGGTCAATTTTGCGACCTCTCCATTATAAGTCAATGGGAGAAAATTGAAATGCGCCTCTTTTGGACGAATATCGTTCAAAACGCTCTCAAACATCGGTTCATAGGTAAACATGACACACTGAATAGGAAAAATGCACCTGTGACCCCTCTGTGTGCCCCTGAGGTCATCTCAGGTCATGAACGGTCGCCAGCAGTTTTTTGGCTATAACTTTTGATAGAGACGTGCTAGAGCGGTGAAAACACGTCAGATGTGTTCAGCTCGACGATACGGATCGACTGATATGCAACATGACCTTTTCCGGTCAGGTCATGACCTTGACCTGAGGTCAAATTTTCAAAATGACCTTTCAAGGTCAACAAATAGTTCATTCGACGCGTCTCGACGAGAGGAACACGATGCTGGCAAAAGTAATGTCATGGCGCTTATGAGTCAAAAGTTATTGACGAAAAAACGTTTTTCGTAAAAA